CTATGAGTCGCCTGCGACTCGACGGCACTTAACAACAACAACAACAACCTGGACAGAGCAGTCAGGAAGGGGCCCTGGAAGCATGACAATTAAATGCTTGTCTGTTAACCAAAAGGTTAAGGGTTTGAACCCACCCAGCGGCTCCTCAGGGGAAAGAATTAACCATCTACCGCTGAAAAAATGGCATTGAGTGTAATCCTAACCCAGTCTCAGACTTTACTCTGAATCAGTCTCAACTCCTAACCTTAGTCCCCATTCCAACCCCTAATCCTAATCCCAGTCTTATACCAGCCTCTAGCCCTAATCCGATCCCCAGTGCAGCCCTAAATCTTGATCCCTAAACCCCTAACTCTACCCGTCATCAAACCATGACTTTAACCCCAACTCCAACCTTTAACCCTAACCCCTAATCTCAGCCTTTGACCGTGACCCTGATCTATCCTTGATCTTAACCCCAGTCCTAACCCTCAGCCCTAACACCAGCCCTTACCCTACCTTTTCCAGCTGCCTGTAGTTCACCTACCTTCTGAGTCCAGCAAGCCAAGAATCCCTGACAGGAGCCCCCACCGCAGCCTCTGCCCCCCACAGCCAGAGCCGTCCAAGAGGCAGTGAGGGGAGACTGAGAGCTGTCAGAGGCCCTGTTCACAGGCGAGACCAGACCCTTCTCCCACTCTTCTCATCCAGCAGTGGTTCATAAATAACGAAAATAACATAAAACTTGAAACAATCCTGTGTGTACTATTAGGGGGTATGATTTTTCCCCAGACTCTCACCAATATTTGGTGGAAGGTGGGTATTTGGTTTGGTTTTTTTTTTTAGTTTGTTTTCTTTGTTAGTAGTATTAATTTTAATGAAAATTTACAGAGACTTTGGATTTCCGTTCATTGGAAGGTGGCTTTAAAAAATTGTTGACTAATTCAGTAGACAGAATCTTCTCCCTCTCCGAGTCTTACCCTCTGTCCCCCAGCACCTGCACCCCGCCGTCTTGCCCTTGGATGTCTTTGTCTGGTGAAGATATCACCACTTTCCCTGACTTTGTTCATACCTGTTGCCTCAGGATCTCGGGGATTTTTGAATCTTTTCTCATCTTGTCATTTACTTGTTTATTGTTGTTGGATGCTTTTGGAGTCAATTTTGCAACAGCACAGGACAGGATAGAACTGCCCCAGTGCTTAGCTGTCCTCTTTACCAAAACAGGACTTTCCTTCCCCGGAGCCGTCAGGAAGATTCAATCCGCCTACCTCTCAGTCAGCAGCAGAGCGCTTAACCATTATGCCGCCAGGACTGCTCTTAGTAAGAATACGCGCAAATGAAGGCTCCTAGGTGGTGCCGGTCAGTGTAGTGATACCATCAGGTATCAGACCTGGCATCTGGGTCAGAGGAAGACTAATCGATAACCTGCATTAAGCAGAAGACACAACTTTGCTTGCTGAATGTGAGGGAAACTTGGAAGAACTTGCTGCAGAAGATCAAAGCCTACAGCCTTCAACATGCACTGCATCTCAACATCAAGACCACAGAAATCCTCACCACTGGACCAATAAGCAACAGCACGATACTGCATTGGGGAAGCCTGTACTCAGAAGTCTCTTCAGTTTACTGAGGAGCAATGATGTTTTCCTGAGGACTAAGGTGCACCTAATTTGGGCTATGGTCTTTTCAATCATTAGATGTGCATCTGAGAGTTGGACAGTGAATAAGGATGACTAAAGAAGAACAGATGCCTTTGATCTGTGGAGTTGGAGAAGATTACTCAATATCCCATGGACTGTCCAAAGAACAAATAGATATGTTTTGGAAAAAGTGCAGCCAGAGTGTTCTTTCAAGGCGAAGAGTTTCCAAACTTCATCTTGCATGCTTTGGGCCTGTTGCTAGAAGAAGCTATTCCTTGGAAAGGGGCATTATACTTGGAAAGTTAGAATCGGTAAGAGAGGAAGACTTTTCCCCCCCACTAGTTTATTTATTTTTTACTAGTTTATTCTATAAATTCAAACAAATTCCTTCCATTTCCCTCACGCCCCCCACCCATCAAACTCTACAACCTAATGATTAATCCCCTCTTCCCCCTGTACATCCACATCCCTCTGCTTCCAGCCTCTCCCACCCCTCCTGGATCCTGTACTCATTCTGTAGTAACGGTCTATACAATATTTAGCCTTGTGGAACTGAGTGAGTTCACTCAGCGTAATGCTGTCCAGTGCCTCCCAAGTTAGGTAGTAAAAGAGAGAAAGACTCTTTACTAAGAGATGGGTGAACACAGTGACTGCAGCAATGGGCTCAGGCGTGTCACAGGATGAGGAGGACACAGGGTGAAGCAGAGTTTAGATCTTTTGTTCATAGTCAGGTCACCATGAGTCAAACTCAACTTGACAGCACCCAACAACAACAAAAATGTGGTGCCACAGGGAGCTTGGGTGACCTAATGAATGGGTAAGGAGTTGAATCCACAGACAGGTGGTTCAAATCCACCAATTGCCCCAAGAGGGAGTCATATGGACAATTTCCTTCTATATGATTTATAGCCAATGAAAAACTGGTGGAGGGTCAGCTCGATGGCACCTAACAACAACAACAGGTGGCACAAAGCAGCACGCATTAAAATCTGTTAACCGAAAGGTTCAAAACCAGCCAGTGGTGCTGTGGAAGAGAAGTCCTGGAAATCAGCTTTTATAAAAATTGTAACCGCAAATCCACCTTGGGGATCTGTGTCTTTGCTGGTGTAGAGATTTTATAGACATGAGATCGTACAGTCTTGATCCTTTGAACCTGACTTCCTGTACTCGCATGATGTTTTCTGGACCCATCTGTGTCCTGGCTTATAACCTTACTCTTTTCTATTTTTTTTTTCTTTGTGTTTGCATAAGCATTTGCATGTTTGGCACCCTCACCTTTGATCGGGGTTGGACCTGTTTGGTTTGGCTCTCCACACTTTCTGCTCCCTCTGCACGGCCCCTTCCTGGTCCCCTGGTCTGCTGTTTCCCTCTGTCCCAGAGAGCAGCTACCTTCAGTTTCTGTGTTTGGGTGTTTGTTCCTCTGTGTGGGGTGACTCCCAGTACTTGGAAGGGCGGGTCTGTGGACAGGAGTCCCTCCAACCCCCTGCCTCCCCACCTTCTCTAACCCCACCCCCCATCAGGTTGTTTGCCGGCTGTTCCCATCACATAATGGGTCTGGAGTTGGTAATGTTTCTTCCTCCTCCACACCCCTATCAAGAATCCACCCCCTCCCACCAGTCCACGTCCCTGCTTCCTCTGATACAGCTCCGGATCTGTTTGGGAAAGTTTTCGGAACTGTAGGCTGGTGCTGGCAGGTTTCAGAGTTCTGTTTTCCAGCGAACCTCGTGCCTCTCCTAATAAGCTCTGGGCTTATCACTTGCTCCTTGTTTTCTCTCTTCTCTTCCTGACATGTTGCATTTTAAAATGAGGTGAATCCCAATCCTGCTTGTATATGTGTTTTGGTTTTTTTTTTTTTTTTAAATTATTGTTGTTGTTGTTGTTGTGTGCCAGAACCAACTCACAGCTGACCCATCTGGACACCTGACTTTTTCTCTTTTAGTGATTGTGAGCAGAGCTGCAGCACATGGTGATACGCAGGTGGAATCTAATGATGATGATGTTGTGGTTGTTATGTGCCATCTAGTTGCTTGCAACTCATAGCAACCCCATATACAAGAGCCCTAAACGCCGTTCTATCCTGTGCCAACCTTGCTGTCTCAAACACACTCATTTCCACTGCTCCACTCACAGAATCGATCCATCTCACCAAGGGTCTTCCTCTCCTGTGCCATCCCTCCACTCTCCCAAACATGATGTCCCTCTCCAGGGACCTGTCCCTACTTGCAACATGCCCAAAGTATGTCAGATGAAGGCTCAGAATCCTTGACTCCAAGGAGCATTCTGCCTTCACCCTCTCCAGGACAAACCTGTTTGTTCTCCTAGCAGTCCATGGTATATTCCACACTCTTCTCCAGCGCCACAGCTCAAAGGCATCAATTCTCTTTCTATCATTCCCATTCACTGTCCAGCTCTCCAATGCATGTAATTGCAAAGACTATAGCCTGGATCGGGCGCACCTTAGTCTCCAGCCTGACATCGTTGCTCTTCAGCACTCTTAAGAGGTCACTCACAGCCCACTTTCCCAATGCAATTCATCTCTTGATGTACTGGCTGCTGGTTCCAAGAATGTTGACTGTGTAGCCAAGCAAACTAAAACTGTGAACAATCTCAATCCCTTCACCATCCATCCTTATGCTGCCAATTTGTCCAGTGGTGAGAATATTTGTTTTCCTGACATTGAGCCTCAATCCATATTAGAGGCTGCAGTCCTTGACCTGCAGCAAGCACTTCAGGACCGCCTCAGTTTCAGCAAGCAGAGTTGTGTCATCGTATAACACAGATGACATCTAATGATGACGTTTTAAAAACAACATCAAAAGGCAGCATAAGAAGGAAAACCCAAACCAAACCGATTGCTGTCAAGTTGACTCCAACTCTTAGGGACTCTGTGCCAGAGAATGCTGTGACCCCAGGATTTGCCCTTTCCTTTTCTTTTAAATAATATTTTCTTGTGTTTTTTGAGAAAGTTTACACAGTACAGTTGTTGTTGTCTATGTGCCGTCGAGTCACCTGCTACCCAGAGAGACCCTATGTACAACAGCCCTAAACCCTGCTCTATCCTGTGCCGACCTCGTTTCTCATTTAATGCTTACTATGCAAATCAGGAGCCACTGTCAAGAAATCAAAAGACATGTTGCACTCAGTCAATCTACTGTCAAGAACCTCTCCAAAGTCCTAAAGAGCAAGGATATCAGTTTGAAGACTAAGGTAAGCCTGACCCACAGCATGACACTTTCATTCACTTCCTGTGGACCTGAGAGATGGACAATAAAGAAGGAAGATGGAAGAATTGATGCCTTTGAGTTGTGTTGCCGAAGAGTGAATCTGTCTTAGAGGAAGTGCAGCCAGGATGTTCTTTGTAGGCAATTTTAGGGAGACTTGATCTCAGATACTATGGGCATGCTGTCAGAATATGCCAGTGCTTGGAGAAGGAGGGTCAGCGAAAGAGAAGAAGACTCTCAATGAGATAGATGCACAGTGACCGCAGCAATGGGCTTGAGCTCAGCGGAGATTGTGAGGACGGCACGGGATAGGGCACGGTGTGGACCGGCTGTTCCCGGGTCACCGTCAGTGGCAGTCAATACAACAGCTATGACGAAGGGACAACACAGATTTGTTTAGTGACATTGGTTGCTTTTCCCTCAATGTGTCACCATCCCCATGCATTCCATTCTGGCTGTTCCCAGTCGTCTGGTTCACCTCCCACCACCTGGCTCTTTCACCTTCACTTAGGAGTAATTGTTGACCTTTGGTCTCCCAGAGATGAGCTTCTAAAGGGGCATCGTACCCGTGGGCACGGTGTTTTCTTTTATAAGCCAGTCTGTTCATTAAAAAACAGAATGAAGAGACAATGACCTCAGGGAGGTGGTTTTGGTTCACTGTCTCCGGGATGGCAGTCTGTGGACCACCTCAGCTGGTCTAGTAAGTCTGAGTTTAAGAATTTCCATTCTGGTCCACGTTTTTCTCCCATTCTCTCAAGGTCTGTGTATGGAGGCCCTGATGAGAATGGCCAGTAGTGCTAACCGGGCACCGTCTATCTAGTTCTGGTCTCAAAAGAGATGATGGTTTGCTCCATAAGGTTTGCAGCAGCATTTCTTTTTAAAAGTAGTTCTCTGGGACTTGCTTCCAAAGCACCCCTGGGAAGATCAGAACCAGCTGTGGATCTGATCCTCACCCGATCATGGGGGTGACTCAGGAGGATGCAGGACTGGGCAGTGTCTCCTTCCAGTGTGCGTGGGGTCACCAGCAATAAGGGCTGACTCGATGGTATTTGAGATGAAGATTACAGTACCTACGGCCCAGAGCTGCTGTAAGAATGAAATGAAACCATCTAGGCCAAACTGGAGGGAGCTTTGGTGGTAAAGGGTGATTACCTAGTGGTAAATACTTATGCTGCCAACCCAATGGCACATGCTTCAAATCCCCCAGTTGCACTGCAGGAGAAAGACAGGGAGTCTCTTCCCATTCAGTTGTTGTTCTTCTTGTTAGGTGCTGTCAAATCATTAGAAACACAGATAGACATTCCTGTGGTTCTCTTTGCTCTCAGCCAAGATCCATCTAACATTGGCAATGATGTCCCCAGTGCCACGACCTCTTCTAAATCCAGCTTGTATTTCTGATAGTTCTCTGTCAATGTACTGTTCCAGTTGTTTTTGGATAATCTTCAGCAGGATTTGGCTTGTGTGTGATATTAGTGATGTTGTTGTTGATTGCCTTGGAGTTGAGAATGACTCATAGCGACCCTATGAACAAAAGACCTGAAGCCTAAAAAAAAAGACCTGAAGCCTTTCTGTAACTATCATCATTTCTCAAAGTTCATAGAGTTTCCAGAGGCACGTTGTTTAGGAAGTGGATGCCACTCCTGCGTCTAAACCTGTCTTACACTGGGAGCTGCACCAAACACTATCCACTAAGCATAACCGTTATGGCATTTGACACCCCAGTGGCACAAGGTTCAGCATCACAGCAACCTCAGGTTACCTCAGTACAGCAAATTAACAGAAGAGTGCTGTACCACTTAGAAGAATATTCCTCCAAAACATAATAATCACTTTTAAATACAAAGGCCCTCCATGATGCTGTATTGATTCTAAACAAGAGGCTTAAATGAAAAAAAAAGAAAAACAAAAACAAAAAAACCAGCACACCAATATAATATTAGTGATAGTGTTCAATAATTTCCACACTCTTATCGTGTTGCTGATTTTTTTTCTCTCTTATGGTGAGAAGAATTTGCATTTAGAATTAGCCCGCTGGACTCAGTTTAGATGATCCCGATTTTGTTGGCAACATCCAAAGCATCATAATCAGGAGCAAGTCAAACACAGGCCTTCTTCTCTCCATCAGGCCTAATCAAAGTGTTGACCTTGGCCACATCAATGTCATAGAACTTCTTTATAGCTTGTTTGATGTGGTGCTTGTTGGCCTTGACATCCACAATGAACACAAGTGTGTTGTTATCGTCTATCTTCTTCATGGCTGACTCAGTGTTCAGGGAAAATTTGATGATGGCATAGTGGTCACGCTTGTTTCTCCCGGGGGTGCTCTTCTAGGGGTGTTTGGGCTGCCCTCGGAGTCTCAGCATCTTAGGCCACGGGAAGGTGGGTGATGTGCAGATCTTCTTTTTTTCTTTTTTGGCTGTGGACGCCCTTCAGGATCCCTTCTTGCCCTTTAATGCCTTTGATTTGGCTTCAGTTTTGGGCGGGCCAGAGGCTTCCTTTTTCACTTTTGGCACCATCTTCGTAGAAAGGCTCGGGTTGACTATTTTTGGAATGGGAATAAATATGGATCTCTTCCACGTGGTTGTCCTCCAGATGTCTTGGCACAGCCTGGTGAGCACGTCCAGAGCTGCATTTGTTTGTTGAACTATGTCAATTGGTTTGCCATCAATTCCTGAGGCCTGTTTTTTTTGCCAATTCCTTCAGAGTAGCTTGAACTTCCTCCTTCATCACCATTCTGTGGGGTCAGCTGGGGTTGGTTCCGACTCAGTAGTACACAACGACAACAGTAGGCCAAACTGAGCTGTTGGCTCAGGAAGTCGGACTTTTGTCACTGAAGTAGTGACTCCCTTCCCCCACAGCATGATCTGACGTGGTCCCACCTGGGAAGGGCACCCCAAGACAGGTCCAGAACTGGCAGCGTTCTCACACCCTCTCCACCTTGTCTTTTAGGAGCTCCACCTCTGTGTTTCCAGGAGGCATTTTGCTGCAGAACGGGGCTGCCGACTGCGAGGGCTGCCCCCAGGCAACTATAGCGTGCGTGTGCGGGCCACCTCCCTGGCGGGCAATGGCTCCTGGACCGAACCCACCTACTTCTATGTGACAGATTACTGTAAGTCTCCATGGCAACAAGGTTGGCCTGTGTTTGAGCTGAAATGAGTTGGGAAGTTTGGAGATTACCAGTCCCTGACCTTAGCCACTGTCTTCCCTGACCCTGTACCCCCTCTGCCCATGGGAGTAATGACAGAATCCGCCTACCCCCTTTACACCACCAAGAAAGACAGTACAGAGGTTTTGGTGACATCATAGATGTCACAAGGAAATTGACCCTGGAATACTTTCAGGATGCTTTTAGAACCAGCTCAGGCTCACTGAATTGCAATTTGTCTCCTGTTACGTTGTTGTTGTTGTTTGCCATCTAGTCAGAATCGACCCAGAGCTGACTCCCTGATGGGTTTTCAGAGGCAGAAAACTGCTCATGCTGGGGGTTCTGGGGGAGCACAGTGGGAGGTGAGTCTTGCAGGGGTAGTTCAGATCAGGGTCTGGACTGGAACTGGTGTGCGAGGCACAGGGTTGCAGAGAGGCGCCATCCCTGCACCTACTTCCCCAACCCCTCCAGGTTGGTATCCTGGGTACCTCACTCTCCTCACTCAGACTCTGAAATCTGAGGATGGGGCAAATCGAGGCTCTCAGAAGTGAGAGAGGAGGGGCAGCGAGTCTCAGATCTTACCCCTGTGCCCCATCTTTAGGGACCCCTCAGTTCCAGCCGCTGAAATCGCTCCAGCCTAGGGAAGGAAGCAGGGGGTCCACGACGCATGACCGGGTGGTTGCCATTTCTCTCCTCTTGGTCATTTGTCCCCCTACTGTGTTCCCACTGCTTCTGGAGGCAGTCTGTGTGCTGGGGGGCTGTCTGAGGCACACTGCTGTGGAGCAGGAGGGTCGGGTTCCTCAGGACAGGGTCCTCTTTGAAGGTGGTTTGGGCCAGTCAGCGCTCACTAAGTGGTTCAGGTACGAATCCCTGTTCTGTCCTTGAGCCTTGGTCAAGACCCTTCCCCTCTCTGAGCTTCCACAGCCTATTATTTGAACTGAGATCCCTCTGAGTACCATCCTTCTTGATTCAAATAAACAACAACAAAAAACCCAACAAAACCCCAAACCAGTGACTTGTACATGCAGTCTAACTTATGGCGGCCCAGTGTGTGCCAAGTAGGACTGCTCTGTAGAGACAGAAGCAGATTTCCAGGCTGTTTAAAAAAAAAATAAAGCAAAACACACACACACACACACACACACAAACAAAAACAAAACAACAAACCGCAAAGGCTGCACAGGACGTGCCACAGCTGACCTTTATGCGCTTCACAAGGTGGAACTGGCCCTGTTAACAACATCAGCAACACAACCAATTCCCACAAGGTCAGACATGTCTTCCATACCACTTTCTACTCATCTCAACAACAATCTTAATGCTTTGCTGAGTCGGAAATCCTTTCCAGTGGCTCACAGACCACACAGAACCGTATTATGGAAGTCAAATGGCCATAATTCAGATTAGTAACAGAATATAATTTTTGTCTGGACAGTTCCTTAACTATCCTCCTTAAATAGCCTCAGGTTTCAGCCTTGTGACTTTAGGCCAGTATTACAAAGCTCTCAGTCTGGCTAATTAGTTCTCTTTCAGCCCTCCAACAGACTTGGGCAAAAGGCTCTTGGCTCTGGTTTAATGGCATAGCAGTTCCAAGGTCTGCTCCATCTCACATCAGGTCTTTGGTTCTCCGCTGTGCTACTGTGGCTGCTAGTCTGAGGCCCTAGCCTTAGAGGACACGTTATATGCTGCTGCTTTGCTCGTGGTCAGATTCTCCAAGCTGCCACGGATTCTGCTTAGTTTAGCGGTGAGACTAGCCAATAATACCCTTATAGATAGACTAACAAACCCTATTCATATATCCCTGTCCATCCATATGGCAAAGTCAGACTCAATGTGGCTCTCCAAGCCACTTTAACAATAAACCTTTGCCACCACACAGGCCTTTCGTCCAAGGTGTCTCTCAGTGGGTTTGAACTACCAATCTTTTGGTTAGTGGTGAAACATTTGGGACAGTAGCTGGTTCCTTCTGTCAGCTGTTCTTTTAACAAGTTGAGAGTTCTCGCTCAGGCAAGTCTTTGAAGAGCCTGAGTCTCGGCTTGTCTGTGACTACAGACAGTTCAGCTCGCAAGTAATCTTTCTTTTTCTTTTCTTTTCTTTTTTTTTTTTGGAGGAAGCTGCTTAATGTTTTCAGCTGCTTCGAGAGGAGTTTTGCGGAAATGCACATTCTTTCATTTTGCTGGCTTCTCATGCTGGCAACCAGTACGCCCACAACGCAGTGGTTTTACAAAATACTTTTCTCTTTTCCACTGAGATGAAACTCACAGAACATAGTCAAAGCCGCTGTCAAGCAAGCAAGTAGCCCCGTGGCACTTTGTTCTGTCACAGTGTGGGGCTATCATTCCATCTGGTTCTGAGGCATTTTCAGTGCATGAAAGTAGATCTGACTCCCTGGGAGGTGCACACAGTTCCTGCTCTGGCCACAACACCAAAAAAGGTGGGCAGTTTGAGTCCCACCAGCAGCACCTTTGAAAAAAATGCCAGGTGATCTACTGTCGAATAATCAGCCTTGAAAGCTCTGGGAGCCCAGCACTCCTCCAACACCCCTGGGGTCACCACAGCTCAGAATCAACTTCATGGCAGCAGTTTTGGGTTCTTTAATTAAACCTGCACAGGAATCAGATTGATTACATCTGTGCAAAGAATCACTGGAGAAGCTCAATATCAGCTGTGGAAACTAGGCCACATGCTGATTGAAGAACAGACCATCAACTGCTCATACGCAAGTTCAAACTAAAGCTAAAGAAGATTAAATCAAAACCACAAGAACCACAATTTGGTTTGTTTTTTTAAGAACCACAATTTGACCTTGAGTCTATGCCACCTAAATTTAAAACCATCTGAGGAACAGATTCGAGGCCTTGAACTCTACTGAACGAAGACCAGATGAGCTATGGGAGGATTTCAAGAATATCATCCCAAGGGGAGCTCTGGTGGCCTAGTGGCAAGGAGCTGCAACTACAATCCCAGAGGCACACAGTTCGAATCCACCAGATGCTCTGCCGGGAAAATCATCCCAGAAGAATGTAAAAGGTCGTTACAAAGACAGAAGAGGAAGCAAAGACTGAGGTCGATGTCAGAAGAGACTCTTAACATTTCACTAGAGTGCTGAGAAAGCAAAGCAAAGGGAAGAAAGTAGGAAGTTAAGGAGCTAAACAGAAGATTTCAAAGGGCAGCTGGGAGAAGACAAAGCAAAGTATTATAATGAAATGTGCAAAGAGTTGGAGTCAGAAAAGCAAAAGTTCTGAACTCGCTTGGCATTTCTTAAGCCAAGGGAGCTGAAGAACAAATTCAAGCCTCAAGTTGCAATAATTAAGGATGCTGTGAGCAGAATATTGAATGATCCAGGAAGCGTTAAAAGTAGATGGAAGGAATATAAAGAGTTATTGTACCAAAAAGGATCGGCTGACACAGAAAATTTCAAGAAACAACATCTAGTATACCAGTGTTGATGTTCGCAAGAACATGGAAACAACCAAAATGTCCAGCCACAATGGATTGAGAAATTATTGTACATTCACACAATGGGATACTATGCAGCACACAGGAACAATGATATTTCCCCTCCTTTTCGCCCCCTCTACTAAGTTTATTTATAAAACTCAAATTTGAACAAATTCCTTCAATTTCCCTCACCCACCCCACCCATCAAATTGTATAATCCAATGATTAATACCCCCGCCCCCTGAGTACCCACATCCCTCTGCTTCAAGCCTCTCCCACCCTTCCTGGATCCTTTACTCATTATTCAATAATGGTTTTATATAATATTTATCCTTGTAGGACTGAGTTAGGAGCAATGATTTTGTAACTTATTACCTAACTTGGGAAGAACTAGAGAGCATTATGCTGAGTGAACTAACTCAGTCCCACAAGGATAAATATTGTATAAAACCATTATTGTAGAATGAGTATAAGGATCCAAGAGGGATGGGAGAGTAAAAAAAGGAACAACATATGATCAAGATGCAATGGTGATGAAGGGGGAAGGTCAAGCTTCTCTGACAGAATTAGCAAAAAATAAGGCCCCAGAAATTGATGGAATATCTACCAATTGACATATTTCGACAAATATATGCTGCCCTGGGTGTGCTCACCAGGTTGTGCCAAGAAATTTGGAGGACAACTACTTGACTGATTAGAAGAGATCTAGAAATATATTCCCATTCCAGAAAAAAAAAATAACCCAAGGAGAGTGTGGAAAATATTGAACACTGTCATCGATTTCACACACTAGCAGAATCCTGCTGAAGATCATCCAGAAACAACTGGAGCAGTCCATCGACAGAAAACACAACCAGAAATAGAAGCTAGATTTGTAAGAAGCTGTGGTACTAGAGACATAATCGCCAGTGTCAGATGGTTCTTGGCTCAATGCAGAGAGTATCAGAGGAATGTCTATCTGTGTTTCACTAACTATGCAAAGGCATTTGACGGTGTGGATTACAACAAATTGTGGCTAACCTTGAGGAGAATGGGAACTCCAGAATATTTGACTACGCTCATGCAAGACCTAGACTTGGACCAGGAAGGAGTCCTCAAAACAGAGCAAGGAGACACTGCATGGTTCAAAATCAGGAAAGGAATGAGTCAGGGCTGTGTCCTATCTCCATACCTTTCCAATCTGTATGCGGAACAGATCATTCAGGAGGCTAGGCTTTATGAGGAGAAATGTGGCATCAGGATTGGAGAAAGACTCATCAATAACTTGCGTCATGCAGATTATACAACCTTGCTTGCTGAAACTGAGGAGGACCTGAAGCACTTGCTGCAGAAGGTCAAGGACTGCAGTCTTCAATATGGGTTGAAGCTCACCACCAAGAAGACAAAGATTTTCATCACTGGGCCAACTGGCAGCACAATGATAGATGAAGTGATTGAGGTTATTAACAATTTGAACTTGCTCAGCTCCACAATCAACACTCTTGGCACCAGCAGTCCGGAAATCAAAAGGGGAATTATATTGGGTGAGTCTGTTATCAACGACCTCTCCAGAGAGCTAAAGAGTAATGATGTCAGTCTAGGGACTAAGGTGTGCCTGATCCAGGAACATGATCTTTGCAATTACTTGCTATGCATCAGAAAGCTGGATAAAGACTAAGTGGGACAGAAGAAGAATCAATGCCTTTGAGTTATGGTGCTAGAGAAGAATATTGAACATACCATTGACTGTCAAGAGAACAAATAGGTCTGTCCTGGAGAGAGTGAGACCAACTTTCTCCTTGGAGTCTAGGATCTTGAAGCTCTATCTCACATACTTTGGGCACATGGCCAGCAGCGACCAGTCCTTGGAAGAGGACATGATACTTGCAAAGGTGGAGGGAGAGTGCAAAAGAGAAAGAGCCTGAATGAGATGGATTGACACAGTGACAGGGTAATGGGGGTAGACGTATTGGAGTCAGTGAGACTGGCTCAGGATAGCGCAGGGTTCAGAGCTGTTGTATGATAAGGTCGCTATGAGTAGCAGGTAACTCAATGGAACACAGTAACAACACCAACTATTAAGGAAGGCCTGGTGGCCTTGTGGGTAAGGAGTTGAGCCGCCAACCCAAAGGCATGCTGTTCAAATCCACCAGCTTCTCTGTGGAAGAAAGATGGACAGTCCCCTTCCATGAGATTTACTGCTTCTGAAAACCCACTGGAGGGTCAGCTCTGGATTAGTTCTGACTCCATGGTACATAACAACATGGGATCTCTCTCCTTAGGTCTCAGAGGCTGTAAATTGCATGAAAGGAGACTGTTTGTTTTTCTCTTACAGAGCTCCTGGTGGATTTGAACCACTGGAGAGGCATGGCCTTTAGGTTTACAGCCTCCCCAGACTGCCACCCAAGGAGTCTTTTTAGAATTGCCAAAGGAAAGATGTCTGAGAGACCGGTGAAGAGGCGGACAGCAGGCATATACTAGGCTTGCAGGCGAACAGACCCAGGTGAAGCAGATCCTTCCTCAAGTGAACACATAGTGAATCTTGTCCTTTTCTTCTTCTGTTCCAGTGGACGTCCCATCGAACATCGCCAAGATCATCATTGGACCCCTCATCTTTGTCTTTCTCTTCAGCATTGTGATCGGGAGTATTTATCTGTTCCTGAGAAAGAGGTGAGTCCAGGGATCCTCTGGGAAAGATGCTGGCCGTGGTGGGAGAATGGCCTGGTGACCTCTCTAAAGATCGCTGTCAGGTTGATAGGCGCCGCTGAGTCACTTCCCACCCATAGCGACCCCACGCAGGGCAGAAGGAAGCACTGCCCACCCGCGCCGTCCTCACACACCTGCTGTCCGAGCCTGTTCTCGTTGCCACTCTGCCAGCCCATCTGTCTGGGGAGCTTTCTCCTTTTCACTGACCCTTTACCAGGCATGATGGCCACATAGGTGACTGTAGGGGACAGTCAGGGTCACTGTAGGTTGAAACTGACTCATCACTTAACAGCACAGAGAAAAGACAATTTATTGCTACTTTAACCTATATACCTTCCTTCTGATAAAAATGCCAACCTCACTCCTTTTTCTCTACTTTGAATTTCCCCCCCCTTCATTTTAATAGCTAATCATTTGTTGTGGTTAATTGTGTTTACATAATTGTAATCACAGGGAACCCTGGTAGCCTGTACCGTTATGAGCTGGGTTCCTAACAGAAAGAGCTGCAGCCCTACTTCGACAGTTGCTCCAAGGGAGAAAAACAGCCCCCTCGTGTAATGATTTTTTTTTCTTTAAAAAAAAAATTTATTGGTTTGCGTAGAATCATTCATATATGTCTTATTTTGTACATGTGCTTTGTTTTATACAAGCATTCATATGCATTATTTTTTGCAGCTTTATACCTTTATTTCCACTATTAATTTTTTTAATTTATTTAAATGAACATTTACAGAGATTTGGGGTTTCCATTTATTCATTGTTGCATTTTTCTTCCTGTCCCACTCCTCCCCCAGCCCCATTCGGTTTTCTCTTTGAAAAGTAAAAGAAAAATTACTTCACTGATATACAATGCAACCTCCCCCCCCCCTCCCCGAGTATGCTCTACTACACAACCTTCATTCTGGACTCTTGTCATAATGAAAATACCCAATCATATATTGCTATTGAACTGTTCTCTCCCTCATCTGTTTCAATGCAATATACATAATTTATCCAATTTTTCTCAGTCTCACCCCATCCCTGATGTCTGTCCCATTCTACAACGGTGGCACTATGTAGTATTTGTCCTTTTGTGAGTGAGATATTTCACTCAGCATAATGTCCTCCAGGGTCACCCATTTTGAATAATATTTCATGAGTTCCTTGTTTTTCAATGCTGTGTTACTCCTTATATCTTAGTCCTCCCATTTTAGACAGCCAGTTTTTAATTTATCTATTCTCTGAGGAAATAAGCATGTGTTTTTTTTTTCTGGAAAACAACCCCAAATCTCAAAACCCTTAATTTATCGTTGAATCCAAATATATAAACAGTGGTCCAGTCCAGAGCATTGCAGTGTGTAGAGTTTTGAAAGTGGTGATAAGTACATAGGTAGCCAGTGTGTACAGTTTGTTTGGGGGACGTTTGTCCTCATTACGTTTTCTGGACAATCATACACAGTTATAGTATGGGACATTACCTATTCCTTTGGCCCAGCTGGCTTTGTTAAGCCTGGTGTCCATGCAAACATCTGATGTTCCCATCTCCTTCCTGGCAATATCCAGATCTCCTTGAGTGCCTGAGGTGCACACTTTTTTAAAAAAATAAAATCCAAACAGATTTATTTATAAAGTTTGAATACGTTGTTTTTCACACTGAATTTTTCCCGTTTCCTTCACTCTCCACGCACCCATCAAATGATACAACCACTCTGAAGAGATTGGACATGTTCAGGGTGGTTTTGTCATAGATGGTACAACCACTCTGGAAGGCAGTTTGACACTTCCTCAAAAAGCTAAACATAGAAATTCCATATTAACCAGCTATTACACTGGTTGGAATATACCCTGAGCAAAATGAGAACTGAGGCTCAAATGGAGACTTGCACACCAGTGCTCATACCTGCATTATTCACCATCACAAGAACAGGGAAACAGCCCAGATGTCCAACCACAATAGGATGGATTAAGAAATTATGATACATTCACACAATGCAATACTATGCAGCACGCAGGAGCAATGATTTTTGTAAATTACTGCCTCACTTGGAAGGGACTGGAGCGCATTATGCTGAGTGAACTAACTCAGTCCCATGAAGACAAATACTGCATAAAACCATTATTGCGGGATGAATATAAAGATCCAAGGCGGGGGTAGGGTCGAGGCAGAGCGGTGAGGATGGGGGAGGGGGTGGAGTGGTTAATCATAGGGTCACACAGTTGGATGGGTGATGGTGGACACTTCTGAAAGCCCACTCCAGGGATGTGCTTGTGAATGTTGAAGGTGTCGTCTCTGGTCACCACGTCATTGATGACAGAACTGTCCTTCTTCTTCTCACTGCCCTTTTTTGTGGGGGCCATAGCGCCGGGACCAGGCTGGACAGCCATACACATTTATATAATTGCTCACCATTGCTCCATGCTTATTTTCTCCCTGTCCTTTCAAGCCCCCATCAAACTTTTCCCATTACTTCACCTCCTCCACTCACTAACCTCTGCTATCCTGGTGATTTCCCCCTTCCCATTTTTTTGACCCGCTTCTCTCCTTTGCCTTTTGCATATTACTACATCTCTTGCTTACTTTACCTCTTGCTTTCACAATAGTGGCCTTATGCAGTATTTGTCCTTATGTGTCAGAGATACTTCACTCAGCATAATACTTTCTAATCTCCCCCAAATTACGACTTTCAATTTTTTACCTGAAATATAGAATATAACACTAATTTTTGTCAACCTTTGTAACCCCTTGGTGAAAGAAAGATGTGGCAGTCAGCTTTTGTAAAGATGGGAGACTTGCGAATCTGATAGATGGTTTTGTTCTGCTCCGTGGGGATTCTAGAAATCAGAGTAGGCTCAGTGACACACAATAACAACAGAGATGAGTGTGCCCAAGTCCAAATCATTCAAATGATGAATGCCGGCTCCACCACTAATAAAAAAGGTTGGAGGTTCAGGTCCATCCAGAGGAACCTTGGAAGAAAGTTCTGGCAACTCGGTACTGAAAACTCAGGGATTGAAAACCCGGTGGGTCACGGTTCGTCTCGGACATGGATAAGGTCCTTAGAAATCACAATTGACTTGACAGCAAGTGAGGGGGCAGGGCAAGTACAGCATCTACAAGTGACGGGTTTTAAAAGCCTACAGGCAGCTGTCTAAGGTGTAACTGTTGGCCTCTCCCTGTCCTAAACAAAGAAGAGCGGCAAAATCAAAGCTGCGTAGGGAACAGTTATGCTCTGTAAGGAATCACATAGAGGAGGCCTGGAAAAAGTGAAAGAAAAATGTGACAAAAACTCAAAATCATAAAAATGGCCAGGATTGTTGGTTTCACTGAGACTGATGGACCCCTGAGACTGTGGCCCTTAGTCCAACTCTGAGCTTTCAACTAAACTGTGGCTCACTTTCAGCCAAACAAGAGATATGCTTGTAAGATGAACTGTACCACCAAGGAGGTGCATCATCCTGAGAACAAGCAATCAGATAAGATTAAAAGGAGTGTTTCCTCAGGAAGAATGCTTAGAATGTCAGAAAGGGTAGGCTGGGTGGATGAATGGAAGTAAGAATCACAGAGAAGGAATGGGAGGAGTGCTGGTGCTGTCACAATGTGGGAACTGTAATTAATGTCATAAAATTGGTAGAGTTCAGCTTCTTGAATATTTGCTCAGCATACAGATTGAATAGATATGGATAGAGAATCCAACCTTGACACTGTCCATTCTTAATTTTAAACCATATCATGGTCTCTTGCTGTGTTCGCACAACAGCCTCTTGGTCTAGGTATAGGTTTTGCATGAGCACAATCAACTAAATGCTTTAGAATTTCTGTTCTTCTCAGTCTCGGCCATAATAGTAAATGTTAGTCATAACTTGTGATGACCCACACAGTCAGATGCCTTTGCATAGTCCATAAAACATAAAGTGTCACGGAGCTCTGGTGGCCTAGTGGCAGGAAGCTGCCCAGCAATCCCAGAGGTGCATGGTTCGAATCCACCAGATGCTCTGCTGGAGAAGGAGGGACAATCTCCTCCTGTACCAGTGAGATCCGACTTGATGGTGCACACACACACACACACACACACACACACACACACACAATAACAATAGATTTTTTTAAAGAAGCATAAAGAGTCAGGAAGCATGAGGACAGCACAGGACAGGACAGGGTTCAGATCTGTTGTTCACAGGGTCGCTGTGGGTCATGCTCAACTCAACAGCGCCTAACAACAACAACTACTCATACATACGTATGCACCAGCAGCACCTTATGAGGAACAACTGTTCCGTTTTCAGGAAATTTTTAGGCCATTTGGTAAATGTGGCCATTGTTAAAAATTATATAAGCTTGCAAGGACAGAAACGATATGAAAAGTATTCATCAGCTCCTCCTGTGTATCAGCGTAGACCTGTGCTCCATTTTTCAGTGACTTTCCAGAAGTTAATTGCCAGGTCTTTCTTCTGCAGCACCTCTGGGCACACTCCAACCTTTCTCAGCAGCAGCTGAGCATGTTAACAGCTTGTACAATCCAGGTTCGTGGCGTAGTGGTTAAGGAGTTGTACTGTCAACCCAAAGGCAGCTGGCTTGAATCCACCAGCTGCTCTCAAGGAGAAAGATGGACAGTCTTCTCCCATGTGATTTACAGCCTCTGAAAACCCACTAAAGGGTCAGGTATGAGTCAGTTCTGACTTGACACCAATGAGTTAGTGAAGTGGAGACACGAACATACTGTGTGGAGAAGTATTAATTGCCCACGAGATACGAGGTTGATTGGTTCAGGAAAAGTGTGCATCAGGGCTGTGTCCTTTCTCCATACTTATTCAGTAGGTATGGTGAGCAAATCATTTGAGAAACTAGACCATATGAAGAAGAATGTGGCATCAGGACTGAAGGAAGAAGACTCATCAATGACCTGCATTCCACATCTGACACAACCTCGCTTGCAGAAAGTGAAGAAGATTTGAAGCCATTGCAAAGACGACCTCCTTCAATATGGATTCCATCTCAACATCAAGAAAACAAACACCCTCGCCACTGGATCTGTAGGCAACATCGTGATCGATGGAGAAAAGATTGAAGTTGTCCGGAGTTCAACTTGGATCCACCATCAACAGCCATGCAGCCTGGAAATCAAAAGACATGTTGCACTTGGAAAATCTGCTGTCAGGGACTTCTCCAAAGTGCTGAAGAACAACAAGGAAGCCAGTTAAAGAATAAGGTGTGCCCCATGCAAGCCATGATATTTTCAGTTGTTTTTTTTTGCATCTGAAAGTTGGGCAAGAAATAAGACTGAAGAAGTGATGCTTTTGAATTTTAGTGAATTGTAGAGATGGAGTACTGACTATCCTATGGACTGCAAAACAGATTAAGTCAGTCTTAAAGAAAATGCGACCAGGGTTTTCCTCAGAGGCATGGAAGGTGAAACATCATCTCACAGACTTTGGTCATGTTGTCAGGAAGAGCCAGTTGTTGGGAGAAGACAGCATGCTGGGGAAGGTGGAAGGTCGGAAAAGAGGAAGACCTTCAACATGGTGGAAGTGACACAGTGACAATGTAACAATGGACTGGAGCATATCAGAGCTTGTGAGGATGGCACACGATAGGAAAAGCTTCAGACCTGTTATTCCTAAAGGTGCCGTGAGTCGTGGTCCACTCAAAGACACCTGACCTGTTATTCCTAAAGGTGCCGTGAGTCGTGGTCCACTCAAAGACACCTAACAACAGTAAGAAACAGTAGGGGTGAAGGCACATGTTTGGTGCATCAGAATAGAGGTTTGATGGGTTTTCCCTTAAAGCAAAAGGCCCTGCCCTAGGCTGTCTCCAGTCTGCCAGTAAAGGTCTCTGTTGGCTTTAGGTTGGAGTTCCTGGATTATTTTCACAATGAAGCACTCAACTGCTAAATGCCGTCAGAGGTGACTCAGATGAAAGGTCTGGCGATCTGCTTCTGCGAAGGGTCTCCGCTTTGGGGGCCATGGTTCTCCCCCACAGCATATGAGGTGTCCATAGACTAGTTTTAGCGCTTATAGTTTTGGTCTCCTGGAGGCTTGCTGCCTCCCCCAGCATTCCCAGGGAGCTAACCAGGTATCTCTTTGTGTTCCCATCCAGGCAGCCAGATGGGCCTCTGGGGCCGCTGTATGCGTCTTCAAATCCCGAGTACCTCAGTGCCAGTGATGGTGAGTACCAGCCCTTCCCCTGCCTGCCCCATCCGGCGGCTGCTTTTAGCTGCCCGCTGAGCCAGGGCTGGGTGGCTTATGATGGCCTCACTCATATTCCTGTTGTCTGCAGGCCCGGGGCCTCAGCAGGGTAGCCTCCAGCAGGCTAACTGGGCACTAAGGCTTGCTTGGTGTGCTCCTGGTCCATCAGTAAAAGAGGCTAAGCCCCAGGGCACAAGCGCTCCTCAGCCTCCGCTGTGGTCCTTTCCCTATTGCCTAGGGACCAAAGCCAATGGCTCAGCCACACATAGATACAGAGGGTGAGGGATAGCCCTGTGGGTGGGGTTTTATACTATTTTGACCTGGATGAGGGATAGCCCCCTAAAGGGGCTTCATGCTAGTGTGACCTGCTGATTCCATATACTGTCCAGGAGCTTTGCGGAAACCACACCTCACGGAAGCACCACTGGGGCTGGATCTCTGAAATAAGAGAAAAAAAAAGGAGAGGGTGGAGGGTCCAGGCACTGCTGACCATTAGAATCCCTTCTTGAGCCTCCCAGCCCTCACTTGAGCACAGTAAGGGTCAGTGCATGAGTGTGTGCTGGACCCAGATGGGACATCTCAGATGGAGGGCTGCGAAGTGGGAAGGGGGTCCCCCAGGGGCCCACTGAGGACGCTTTCTAAATAAGTGAAGACAGTGTTTCCCTGTTCCGTGTACGTGCCCGACGAGTGGGAGGTGCCCCGCGAGAAGATCGCGCTCCTGCGGGAGCTGGGCCAGGGCTCGTTTGGCATGGTGTACGAGGGCAACGCCCGGGACATCGTCAAGGGCGAGGCTGAGACCCGCGTGGCCGTGAAGACCGTCAACGAGTCTGCCAGCCTGCGCGAGCGCATCGAGTTCCTCAACGAGGCCTCGGTCATGAAAGGGTTCACCTGCCATCACGTGGTGAGTCCTGGGCCCCAGGCCCCGCGAGTAACCGCAGCGTGGGCCACCTGCTCTGGATACGGGGATGTGACTCCCTTGCCCTTCGCTGCCCCAGCCGTCCTGAAGGTGCAGACCCTTCTCCCACTTCTCTGAAGTCAGGCTCTGCAGTATGATGCCCGTTGTGGGTTGCCAACTCATGGCAAGCCAGGGAGCGCTGGTGGCCTGGTGGTAAGCAGCTGCTCTGCCAACCCAAAGGTTTGCGGTTCTAATCCACCAGGTGCTCTGAAGAAAGAATAAGCACTCTTCTCCTGTGGGATTAACTGCCTCTGAAAGCCCGCTGCAGGGTCAGCTGTGGGTCAGTTCTGACTCAACAGCACACAACAACACAACCATATAATGAATTAGGAGCTGGCAGTCCATAGGGTTCTCATGGACTGAGTTTTGGAAGTCAGTTGCCAGACCTTTCTTCCTAGTCTGTCATAGTCTGGAAGCTCTGTTGCAACCTGTTCAACCTCCTAGCAACATGCAGGCCTCTGTTGACAGAAGGGTGGTGGCTGTATGTATATGAGGTGTACTGGCCAGTACTCAAACCTAGGTCAATATA